AAGTTCCCACAGCTTTCATCTGTCTGATAAAAACTGCTGACAGTGATCGCAAAGATCAACCTTTATATAAATGTTTCTAATGGACAATCATTTAAAATTTTAGTCTGAACTGCACAAAAGAGAACAATAAACATGCAATACCACAATGGTTTGCAGCTGCACAACAGAAATTCAGTCAGTTTAGTCACGCTAAAAAAAAAGCAAATAAGTCAGATGTGTAGGTCTTCCTCGTGCTTTGAATTTCTCAAATTTTGTCAACATCAAGGTCAATGTTCTTTATTATCATTCACACCTCATGTGGTACATGTGGTGGAACGAAATTGCGTACACAGGGTCCCAGTTACATACACCAAAAGTATAAATTATAAAAGAAAAACAGTAATAAGAGCTAACATATGAACTAAGAAATACGCTAAACTAAGAATACGCTAAACACTTAATAGTGCAAAAACAATAATACGCCGAACAACAGCAAGAACATAGGTCTGTGTGAGCAGATGAGTATGAATGAATACAGCAGCATAAAAAAAAAAATCAGCAGCACATAATCAAGTGGCATTAGTGATTCTTTTTTTCCACAGTGATGATCCTGATTAGGGATTTATGAGTCCAACAGCTTCAGGGTAGAAGCTGTTCCTCAATCTAATGGTTCTGCACTTAATGTTCCGCAACCTGCTGCCCGAGGGGAGCGGGGTAAAAAGTGTGTGTGCTGGGTGAGTGGGGTCCTTCAGGTGGCCCTCTTCCTGCATTTAGAGGTGTAGATGTCTGTGATGGTGGGGAGGCAGACTCGGCAACAGTCTTCTGTGCAGCCTTCACCACTCTCTGCAAAGCTTTTCTTTCTGCAGCTGTGCAGCCTCCATGCCACAAATTGATGCTGGAGCACAGGATGCTCTCCACTGCACACCTGTAGAAGGAGATGAGGACTGAGCCTCCCAGACCAGCTCGTCTCAGCCGCCTGAAGAAGTACAGTCTCTGATGAGCTTTCTAGATCAGGCTGGTGGTGTTGTTGCCCCAGCTGAGGTTGTCGTTCAGGTGCACACCCAAGTACTTGTAGCTGGAGACCACTTCCACTGCAGATCTTCTTATAATGGGGGGGGGGGGGGGATGTTCTGTCTGAAATCCACAACCATCTCCTTTGTCTTCTTCTCAATGACATGAACATTGACATGAAGGTTGTTCTTCCTGAACTAGCTCTGTTCCTGTCTGTAGCTGGACTCGTTTGTGATGCATCCAACCACCGCTGTATCGTCTGCAAACTTTACAATATGACAGCCTAGTAGAAGGGTAGGTGCGCTGTCATACGTGAGGAGAGTGAACAGGAGAGGGCTCAGCACACAGCCCTGAGGGGAGCCACTCTGCTGATTGATTCTTGTGGTATGCGTACTGCTGATATTGATAGTAGCTTTGATGTGGGTAATGACTAGTCTTTAAAAGCATTTAGCAACTATCGGAGTGAGGGTTACTGGCCGATAGTCATTCAGACTAGTCACTGCAGAGCTCTTTGGAACTGGGATGAAGGTGGCAGTCTTCAGGCAGGTGGGAACAGTTGCCAAAGTGAGGGAGGAGTTAAAAGATGCCAGTCAGTGCATCGCAGAGCTCATCGGCACAGTCTTTCAGTACCTTCCCCGGGATGTTGTATACACAAATGTGTACACGCATATAAAAGAATGCAGACAACAAAAGTGAGCTCAATTCTTCTCTAAAGGACTGGCACCAGGCTGTGTCACTTGTGCAATGGAGCGGTTTTAAAATGATGTTAACAGAGGTTGACAAATCTGATAATTATTCATATTTAGTACACAAGACTGTGAAAAGCTTCAGGCATCAGTGAGAATTCATGAAGGTGTATTCAGATGTACATTGACTATGTCAGTTATTGCAACCACAAAACAAAAAGCTCAGCTTCACTGTCACGCCACCCATTTGTGGTTTTAGAGGCTAGCATAAAAATCCTGCCTCTTATCTGGACTACCCTAAATAACATCCAATTAAATTGAATTAGGATGCCTTCTAAATTAATGCAATAATGGGACATTTATTTAGAAGAGGAAACCATAAATCCCGATTTCTGATTGGAAAAAATAAAACAGTGATAAATCAGTTACCACATTAAACATTGAGCAATGTACTAGTTGAGGACTATCAGCTCATTTCTTTCTGTAATTAAATAAAGCATGCCTTCTGAACAAAAAGAAAAAAAAGAAAAGATTTCACAATTCCAAGGAACGGGGAAAGCAAACAAACTTGAAATTGAAGTAGGAAGGATAAAACTGGATTTTTGGAAGACTGGATTTTTTTTCTCCAACTTTGTGTGACATTGTCAACAGCACATCTGAATCACTAAACGGAAGCTCTTCAAAACAGGCAGCTCAATGACTTTAGACACAAATATACACTCAACTGCAGTTTTTTATACAGTCCTTTGATAACAACATAAAATGCATAATTATTTAGTGACGAGCATTACGTCATCATCTGAGGGTGACCCAATGAAAATACCAGTTACACTAAATAAAATAACTTGATTTCACCTAAATCTTGATTTTAAATACAGAAGAAAAAAAAACCCTCATAACACTTGTTTGACAATGAAAGAAAAGTTGTACGTTGTATTTTGATCTTGATTGACAGTTTATGTGTATACACTTTTAAAATAGTATTTGTTGATAATCTTCATTTCAGCCATGAGTAACATCTGATGCACCAAATGATGAACTTTACAATGCTCTCTTATCTATAAGAGTGGCACAATGTTACTAAAGCAAGCAATTATGACATTATGGTTGAATATTGCAGTGAAATTACTGGTCATGAAAAACATTTTCCTCACTCCTCTTTTTTTCTTTAGTCATTGTGATGCTCACACTACGGACTTTAACATTTAGACCACCATCATCCAAAGGAGCTGTGCATTTAAAGGGTTCATCTGAAGGCTAAATATATTATTCACAGGCAGTTTGGGTCTGCGATTTACAGCGATCTTTTACAATACTGGCATCCCTGATAAACTGCTGACATATTGTGCATCCTCAAACTTCATTCTGTTGCATGTGCTTTAACATTTTCAGATTCTGCACACACAAAGCAATGAATGACTCGCAAACAATAAGTGATGGACATTAACTTTACTGGAAAAGTTTGTGCTCAAGTCCCACAGGAGACAAGGCAATTAGTGAGTTTGAAAACCCACAATGCACTTGTGAAATATGGGTTATTGGAATAAAATAAGAGCATTGCGCACACACACAACTTCCTCTGGTTAACTCAATCACTTGAAATAGAGGGGCTTGTGGGAGAAAAAACAAACAAACACAAAAACACAGTTTCTTCAAGAATTCTCAGCTGATGTACTAAATGGACTCTAAAAGAAAACTGTAACTTAGCTCCAATTGCTTTAGCAGTTCAGATGCGTCTGCCACTGAGAGTACAAATGTTACTTTAAACAAGAATACAATCGGTCTGCAGTTCGTTTTACACTTCCTTTTAAAATAAAAATAGTGAGCATTGAAAAAAAAACGCAACATATTGGTGTTTAAGAGATCCTTTTGTTGCCAATCCTATTATAATTTACCTTTGTTATTTTGTATGTGACTGACTGTTTAGGTTATATAATGAGCAAATTATTGGGGCTTATGAGCTTAAGGGGCACTGATGATAGAAATATTTATCATGTATACTTAACAACGGCTAGTTCTTTCAAATCCTGCTGAGTAAGAAAAAAGTTTTGTGAGCTCAATCAACCAGGTAGATTATTTTTATTAGTTTGTGCTACGAGGAAGGTAAAGTAGAAAAATTCCCTGGTCGTTCTAAAACACCCATCCAACAGCAAAACTGAGATCCGATTGTCCGTCTGTCTTTACATCATTCCCTTTATGTCTTTTCTAAGGAACAGAGCAAAAGGGGCTTTGGCAGATATTTTGCAATCTGAGAGAAAAAAGAATACCAAATCCTTGCAATGATAAATTACATATACACCAGTATAGATACATTTAAGTATAAAACAGGCGTTAAACTAATTTTCACAAGGGGGCCAAAATGAAAAATCTGATTCTAAAACAAATTTAACATGTTTCCAAATTATAGATATATTTGTAGACTAGTTAGTTTAAGTCCTTTAAAGTCTCAGGGCTGAATAAAGTTGTGATACACGGGAAGAAAAGCCCCAATAGTTTGTGTACAATTGAGAGGTCCTGAACCCATCTCCATATCTGTCACTGTGAAAGTTCCTGGTCCACTTGGTGGGTGAAAACACTTTGGAATTCAACAGGGGTTTGCGTGATTGTCAAACTGGTGAGTTAGAACAAAGACAAAGGTTCTGAGCAGATATTGACTTTCAGCACAGTACAAAATTATATCAACTACCCTGCAAATGTGGTGGTAAGATTCTATTATCTTAACAGTGGCTACTGCCACTCCATGCCACCCCCTAGGACCACCACTGTCTCTGCTGCTGCTTTGAAGGATTTTAGGAAGTTTGAGAAAGATTAAAATGAACGTAGCGGTAACATAACGGTTAACAACGGATGTGTAGCCAGAAACCTACAGATCGTTACGAAGCACGGAAAGATTTTTTTCTACAAGGCTTTGATCTAATCATTGCCAGAGTTTGGTGTCAAGCTGCAAAACCGTTTTGATTACACCCAATAAAATGCAGACTTTGGCCCAGCTGACATTTGTCACACTCAGAATTGGATGGACCTTTCAGGCCTTGATGCACAGGTTGCAGTCAGGCCAGTAAACGCATGAGCTGTTAAAAAGCAGCAGCATGGACCATAGAGAGTGACAAGCATTTGTTTAGTGGAGTAACTGACCAGTTATTCAAATCAGGTGGCTTTATAACACAGGAAGCCACCAGGCCTCAAATCAATCTGCTCCATGTGCGCCCAATCTGTGCACAGAACACCCCAACTTCACCCAGACCCCCACCCCCTTCAGGACAAGGTGTTGTTTATGTCAGGAATGTGACCCCCCCCCCTTCCTCCTCCTTCCCAGCAACTTACCGAGAAGCAACAGTTTCAGCTCCCGGCGTGCGTCCCTCTTATCCCGGCGGAGCTGCCTCTCGATCTCGTCGTTGATCCTCCGGGCTTCCTTCGCCTCCTCACTGAGGCAGCACGCCATTATGGATTCCAGAGTCATTCTCGATACTTTTCTTCTTTTTTTTAAAAACACTCACACCGCTTTCTCCCCTCTTACTGAGTCATCCAGATTTTCCTCACTCGTCGAGGAGAAAAGCAGAGGCCTGAATGTCAAACAGCGTCCTCCCGCAGGCCTGCTGCTCTGGCTGAAAACACGCCGGACGCCCTTAAAAACAGTCAACCGGCTCCGAACTGGCCAAGAAGGGATTATTAGATATTAGATGAATTAATGGCCCCCCTCCTCGCTCTGCCCCGTGTCTCGGGCCTTTTGTAAAACGAAACAAGTCGGTTTAAACGCTGCTTTTCCGTCTCAAAAAGATCAACAGATCCTCCACGAACTGCTCACTGAGGGAACTCGTTCAGGCATTGTGTGTGTATATATATATTTTTTTTAAGTCCTCCTGGTTGATACGTTTATATATATATGTATATATTTTTTTTTATTTCCCCGACCACTAAAAATACCTCGTCTTCATGTCGGAGAGGAGCGAGGAAAAGCCGCGAACCGACGCCGTCCGTTTGTTTTCCAACGGCTCCACTCCCGGGCGTGGTGAGGCAGAATATGGCGGACTTTCACTCCAACCCTAGGCTGTGGGACACCGCACGCTGTTCCCTCCGCGGCAGCTCGGCGAAGCCCATAACGTTCCCCAGTGAAACGGTGTGAACGCCTCAGCTCGAGTTAAATAAACAGAAAACCAAGGCGCTCATGTCCGCGGCGGGGTGAGGAGTGAACGAGCGTCGCCGCGTTGTCGTCTTCGCTTTTCCTCTGCTCCTCCGGCGGCCAGTCTTCTCCCTTTTCCTCAGTTTTCATGTATTTTGGTCAGAGTCCATCCACTCCCCCGCTGGCTGGAGTGACGTCACTCTCCCATCGAGCAGGGGTGTGTGTTGGGGGGGTGTCACGTCAAAGTATGTACCCCCACCAACCTGTGGAGTAAAAAATATATGAATGGAGGACGTTGAACCCTCAGTTCAATGGAGGAGGTCATGGAGGACAGTTCCACCAAAACTCCATAGAGTTTGTGGGCGTCACAGTATGGGCTTCCATTGTTGAGTTCATATTGGGTTTAAACAGTTAACATAGAATCAGTGGTGTAGTCTGCATTTTTGTAGCCGCGGTAAAGTTCGTTTTGCGTTGGACACCGTTGAAGCCACGGAGCGCCAATGTCCAACATAAACTAACTTCACCATCGGTCTGTCTGTATACTGTGCAAGTACACTGGTTAGTACAAAGCTGTCAATGTATTTTTGTTTTTAAGCACATTGAACAATTCCACATTTCTCTGATGCTTATATTTGAATACATGTACAACAAACTTTGTACAACTGTTGGCTTTGCATTAAAAACATGTTATAGAATGTATAAAACAGTATCAAAGAAAACATGTTCATGTATTAAGTAGTCAATACAGAAGTACTAATTATACTATATACTATATTATATTTATAATCAGGTCCCTCTTGTAAATGAGTCCCAGAGGTTAAATGGGATTAACCTGTCTAAATAAAGGTTGAATGAAAAAAAAAAATGCAATAATTTGCTGGATAAGCGAATGTAATAAACAAGCGCTGCATAGCGATAGATTGTTACGGAAGCGTTTACCTGCTGTTTAACGTATCAATGATACGTGTCTAATGATATGTCATGTACCATTGGGCACTTTTAAAGAGGTATACTGAAATTCTTAAGCTTTTCTAACAGGTATAATCGGTATACCCGCGTATCATGTAGACTTCACCACTGCATAGAATAACATCTTTGTTACATTGTGTTAACTTTGAAAGTTTGTGAGCTGAGACAAAGAATATTTGTAAAATATGTCTGTGAATACCCAAGGGAATAGATGAATCTTATTTTAACAGTTTCAAACACAAAACATAGGAATGATGTTTGTCAAAGTGAGGTGAGCTCTTTCTGATGTGAGGTGTTTCCCTGCACCCATCATCCTCACTGTGAAGCATGGCAGTGGCAGCATCATGGCTGAGCCTTGGCAGCCAGTCCTAGAAGGTGCATGAAGGTAGAGGACAGTGGTGGGCACAGCTAGCCAAAACGTTAGCTTTGCTAAACCATTTTCTACTAATTAAGATATTAGCTTTTTTGTTCCACCACATGTACCACATGTGGTGCGAATGACAAATACAGAAACTCTAACACGTTTAAATAACCTATGTTCAATAACTGAGCGTTTATATATTTATGTTGTTTAGTTTCACATTTTAGCAAAATTTGATATAGTATTTTAATATCTGGAGTGCACAATATTTAACTTCCTTTGTCAAGTGTTGCTGCTGTTTATTTGTCATTTGCGCAGATTTAGCTTTTGTTTCTTTGAGTTGCCGGTTCCTGTGAAGATGCTGCTGAAGTCGTCCTGCCACTCCCTGTAAACAACCCCAGCTGCATCACATCTACAGACCAGTCTAATTAGGCTGTACTATGTTGCATGGTAGCAGAGGGAGAAGTTAAATATTGTAGTTTGATTTGTTTTGGGTTTTTTACATCTTTGACTAGGTAAAATTTGTTGTTGTAACAAATTTTTTTCTTCGGTTACCATTTAGCACTACTTTGAGCAGTTATTTTTTATTGCTAACACTACTTGTAATTTAGTCTAATTTAGTTCCCCCACTTGTTGTGTCAGAATGGTCTGATCAGCCACTTTATAAGTTTCCCTCTGTCAGTTAGTGTTTTAGTTTCCTATGTTGGTGCCTTAGTTACATTTTGTTATGTTAACCTCTTTATGGACCCAGCACTACAGTACAATAGTCCCTCACATCTTTGTGGTTTGACTTTCGCAGACTTGCTCTTTCACGGTTTTTTAAAGTAAGATTGAACACGAGGAGAAAAAAAAACAAACAATGCACACGACACATGATTGTCAATAACTTACGTGACTAGGACAGTACTGGATACTGTACAGTAGAAAGTTTGCGAAAAAGTAAAATACTTCGGACAGGTGTGGCCATTTTGTAGTTTTCTCTCAATTTGCCGCTCATAAGGACTACATTTCCCAGAAGCCAGCAGTGCCTTGCCCAGAAGCCCTTTGCCTTCTTTTGAAATAAGTAGAAGGAAAGTTTTGATCTGATCTGAAAAAATTCGGTCATTTACAGTGACTTCGGCGCCCAGCGGATTCAGAGAGCCGCATGGAACCTGACCGGAACCGGACCAGCAGAATCGGACCCCCACACCCATCAATGAACCATTGAGCTGGTAGCCAGCCCATGAGGACTTCCGAGCGGGGACGCACAACCGTAGGTTTGGTGTTCTCTCTGGAGCCCACCGCCACTACCCCGAGCCATAGAGCCACCCAGAACCAGCAGGGTATGTCCGCCAAAACAGAACCAAGTCAAAGTTGAACCGATCCGCTACTGTTCAACCAGCTGGTGAGTAAAATTTAGTAGCTACATATAATTATGTTGTTAAAATTAGTAGGTTTAAGAGTTTAGAACATTGCAAGAGAGTGGAAAGGGTTTCTAAAGCCTTAATATATATATAAATACTAAAATAAATATAACGTTGCAACTTTGCGGATTTTCACTTATTGCGCGCAGGGTTGGGGTGGGGGGGGGGGGAGCATAACCCTCGCAATAAATGAGGGACTACTGTACTTTGAGTTTTTCTAAACAAATTAAAAAATCTTTTAAGGCAAATCTCCTGGCTCTCTGTTGCTGGTATGTGGACCCTGATGGGATGATTGTGTGTACTTTTGGAAAAACTTTACTTTTTTTGGCTAAATGCACCTCCACAAAGTTTGCAGTGTCGTAGCGCTTTTAACCAGCGCTGTTGTGTTTAAACCTGTTCACAAGTGGTTTTTATCTATGTGTGAACCTTGACCATAACTGTCCTGTAATAATCTATAAATAATAATAAATCTAATCAATAAATGTCACAACATCAAATTTATTAAGCCTTTTAAAAATCTTAACATTATTTATTCTCACTACAACTTCAGTTTCAGACTTTGAAATATAGTTTTTACTTGGAGAAGTGCCCATTTTTAGCCCTAATTTCAATATTGACTAGTAAGAGTGGGGGGGGGGATATTTTACTGATATTTCAAAACAGTCAAATGAAGTTTGATTATATTTTCCAGCCTGCAATAAACAGAAATGAAAATGACTAAAAATGGATTGACTGACTTCCTGAGAAACATTGATTTTCTTCAGTAAACCAAAGTTTTGGGTGAAAAGCAAGTTTTGAATTGTTTTGTCTGTATGGAGTCATGGTGGGACTTGAAGTCAGCTGTGTCTTTCGTCTCTCATCGGTGAGACTTACTTGTTGGTGGGTGAAAACACAAAAAGCGACCAGTCCTCATGATCTCTGCACCATCGCTTCGTCTCCTTCCCCTTCTTTTGGCTATTGGAGGAAAGACACCCCCCCCCCCCCCCCAAAAAAAAAACAAAAACATGTTTGCAGGGGTTTCTGATGATGCTCTGAAAACATGCTGCAATTGAGTCTTCCTGGAATAAAACTACATCAAATGTTCACCTGAGCCTGAAAACTATCCACCACGATCCCCACCAGGATGTTGAGCATGCACAATATCCTTCCCAAAAATACATGGCAGCAATCAGAGAGGTTGAAACCATGGCATTGTACAGGGCATAGTTCCAATCTTGAGTCAGAACCTGCATTAAAAAGCATACAGCTATTCATAAACCATAGCTGTATAACACAATCTACTGATTTACACACCTGTTAGAGGAAAAAAAAACACATCTTACCAGGAAAACCGTGACCATGTCCCAGCCAAGTGAATCAAAGTTCTTCCTGTCGTCGATTAATTCACCTCCTGCAGACTTAAACTTGCAACCGTGCAAACAGAATCCACACAACAATGAGACAAAGTCGAATCTGCATTGTAACAATTGCCTCATTTGGGATTCCTTGTGACATAAAAAACATGTTTAGCGTGTGTGTGGACATGCCTGAAGATGTAGATGAAGAGAAAGACGAGACAGCAGAGTCTAGCTGCCACCATCATGGACCTCTTCAGCACCAGCATCTGTCTCTTCAGGTACGGCAGGAAGTAGAAAAGTTTCATAAATTGCAGGACTCGGAAGGAACTCAGGACGGAGAGTTTTCTACACTTGCTTGGACCTAACTCGTACAAACTGAGACCCACAACAATGTTGCTACAAGGAATAAAAAAAGAGACGGTTCATAAAACCAAAACTTGACAACGGTTGTTATACCTGATGAACATGATGGCCCAAGTCAAAGAGGTTATCCAGATTCACAAAGTACGACGCCTGGTAGACCAGGAGGTTCAGGACAAACGCCAACACAAACACGGCCGTGAAAATGACATTGCACACGCCCAGCACCTGCGTCCACGTCACAGGCTGCAGAAAGAAAGGATCAAACAAGTAATGAGACAGAGAAGCAAAGAAGTGTGAAATATGCAAAAAGCAGAATTAAAACCCTTGCAAAGTTTTCAAACTGAACATTTTTTTTATGTTATCTTTGCAAATATGTTCAAAAGATGTTCCAAACTCAGAGAAAACAAAGATAAACTGAGAGGAAGCTTATTGTTTAAAAATGCAAAGATCAGGACTTTGAACATTTTTTAATATATTTGTGAGGCCTGCAGCAGACAAATGGTAATAATGTATTTTTCGGACTATAAGGCGCACTTAAAATCCTGTCATTTTCTCAAAATTCGAGCCTTATTATCCAGTGCACCTTACAGTGTGTATTAATTCTGTTTGTACTTAATGACCTCGAACCAATTTTATGTGGTACAACTGAACAATGTTGAGAGTTATCGTGAATGAGCTGAATAAAGTTTGACTTATGCAACTGTTTTGTTTCACTTAATGTGCCTTATATGCGCCTTATTAAGAATACAGTAAATAAACAGAAAATCTTCTCACCTGATTGTGATGCTCCATGGCCATGGTGATAATGTTGAGGAAGATGGTGACC